TGGGGTGTTTAATGGCTTAATCCATTCCTCTGTTACACACGCATATTGATATGATATATAGGTACAATTTGGCATTTTAAAACATTTTCTGCCCCATTCTTCATATATTACAGGTAACGTATTAAAAATAAACTACATACACATGTCCTTATGCCCAAATAACAAGGAGTCTTCCTCAATGGTGGCTCAAGCCTCTTAAAACAAATCTCTCGTAACCAGTTACCGAATCTGGGCTGTACCATTTCCGTGCCATTCATGAGGGGTGTTTAATTGGTTTCCCCATTCCCCTGTGACTCGCGCATATTGATATCATATTCACGGTAAACTTTAGCATTTTAAACCATTTTCTGCCCTGCGTTCCTATGAATTATTTATATATTACAGGTACCGTTAAAATAAATTACACGTGCCCTTAGGCACGTGTAATTTATATCAAGCATTATTCTTTGAGAAAAGACCTCGTCTTTCAAAATGGTTGCTCAAGTCTCTCTCAAAATGTTTTTTTTCTTGCCACCAGTTATTCAATCTGGGCAGTACCATTTTCGTGCCATTCAAGAGGGGTGTTTAATGGTTTAACCCATCCCCCGGTTGAACACTGATATTGACATATTCTTGGTTCCCTTCTACGTGACTTTACCGAAAGAACCAAGAATATGAATCCCCGCAGTCACGAAAGCTTTAAATCAAAACTCATATTTGCATAATATATACAGTACAGTGAATCGTATAATGAATCTCATTTCGCCACACTACCATCAGGCAATTTCAGAATTGGCTCTGGTTTCAAGGGTACCTTCAGTCTCTCAATACAATGCTTGCTTACTCATCATGAATCAATTTATTTTTTGTACCTTTAGGGCCGTCCATAAATGACGTCACGCGATTCTGGCCGATTTTTTACCCCCCCTCCCCACCTCGTCACACGGCGTCACAAAAAGTCAGACCCCCCCTCAAATATATATTTAAACTATTGTCATTGTAGTGCGTATTTAATGTGGCGGTGCACTGATGTTGTAGGAGAAAACATTTATTAAAAAGGAGGCGTTGGAAAGCTGAAATGTATCATAAAATTTACTTGGAAATATTCAACGTCTAACTAAAACTGCAGATGTTCAGAATATTATATTGAAATTCTCTTATAATTTATAAAATATTAAAAGTAATTATAACAAAAAAATACTTGAAACTTTGTAGTAGAACGAAGCAAAATGGAGGGTACAATTATACCAATTCCATATTCATTCCACAGAATGAAAAGCCCTGGTAGAATCATTAAAATCAAAATATTTAATAACAATAATTCCAAAAAATTCAAAAAAATTATGCTTCTCCATTCTCCCATGGAGAAGCAAAATGCTCCTTCATGGAATAAATAAAAGGTGACCTTAGTAAATTTAAATAAGCAAATAGTTAATAATGAAAATTAATAAAAATTAGTGTTATAACAATTATATTGTTTATATTTATTTGCAAGTTGCGCATTTTTATGTGACGTCACATTTCGTCATTTATGGACGGCCCCTTTCCTCATCAGGTCCATAAGGGGTTTAACAATCTTGGTAAAGTTGGGAATGCACTTCCTATTAAACCCCATTAGTCCTAATAATGACCGCAGTTCCTCTTTGGTTAGAGGTGATTTTTGCTTTGAGGACTTGTTTTCTCCTACTTTTCCTAAATGGTCAATGAGCTTTTCCCAATTTTGCATTTTGGGCCGTAAGGTGGTACGTCCATAGTCAGCAGCTCCATTTATTATCTTCAGGTCTCTGTGCCGATGATCAACGTAATTCTCAGCCTGCAGAATGGCTTTTCATAGCTTGCGTATCATTCTTCTGAACACTAATTAGCATGGTTGGCTACATACGGTGCGAAAGAGGTTCAATATACACACACTACTGGTGCATGTACCACCCCACCCTGAATGGCCGTGAACTGATACAGCCTACGAGACTCACAATGGATAGGCAGTCAGAGGAGGGAACGAACCTGAGAGAGCGTACACCACAGGGATGACGATGAATCGTTACAATCTTAGAAAATCATGAGAAAATGCCAGAAAGTGCTTGTTTTGGACCACGCGAGGTGAGAGAGGATGGACATTGCACGCCACTCATCGTCCACAGATTCAACTGCGCGCCAGCAAAACGGCGCTGGAGAAGCTCGCTGTAAGCACAACTGAGCTGCCGGCTGCGGTCGGGATGGCCTCTGTGCTACTTCCCCATTGTCTGTGCGTGCATATCACCTCAGTCAACCCACGGCAACTGGGTCTGTTCCGTGTCCACCTACCCGGCGGGCCTTCGACGCTTCACGTTGCCCTCAAAAGTGCAGCTCGTGAGGTGGCGCAAGCGCTGCGGTGACATCACCGCCAATCAGTGGTGAGCACCGGCGGTGGCAGCGCTACCAAGCGTGCCCAGCTGACAGTTTGTAACCGCGTTGTCTACTGTGTGCGTGTCTGTGCACAGCGCTGGTGTGCCCAGCTCACAGCGAGTACCATGTGTGCGCCTCCACGTGCCCGGCCTCGTGCGGCCTGCCCGAAACCTCGTGCCCACCGAGCCGCGGTTGCGCCGAGGGCTGCGTGTGCGACGCCGGCTTCTTCCTGCAGGGCGGCACGTGCGTGGCGGCGGCGGACTGCGGGTGCACGCACGACGGCGTCTACAGAGACGTGAGCTCAACGCGAGCACTGTCACGCTTGGGGGAAGAAAAAAAAAACACTCGCCCTATCACCGCACCCTATCACTACACCCTACCTCACTGCGAGCACAACCCTGACAACGTAAGTGCATATGTATGTATGTTGCGATTTCAGGTGGCCGAGTCGTGGTACACCCACGACTGCTCACGCCGCTTCACGTGCCGCTCCCAAGGGGTGGTCGTGGAGGAGGCGGGCGGGTGCCACGGGGGACAGGCGTGCTTCCTCAAGGAGGGCCGCTTCGGCTGCCACCCAGGTACCCACCCACCTCCACCCCTCTCCTCTGCCAGGGCCACTCACGCAGGGACATCTTCACACATCTCATAACCCTTTTTCAACTGCCACATCTGAGCCGAACCAACGCCGGGGCCCCTCGTGGTACGAGTGGTTTTTTTTTCCACTGGCACAATCAAGCAATGCCAGGGCCAAGCTGAGCCAGCCTGCTTTTTGACTAGGAAGTGCCAGGTTGGTTTTTTTTCCACTGCAGATGTCACAAGCAACAAACGCGGTCATGATGCATGCTGTTTCCTCACAGTATAGCGACTAACTTCGTCCCCTCTTCCTGCTCTCCGCCCCTGTAGCGGAGGTGGAGCTATCGTGTGAGGGAGAGCGCATGTCTGCGCGCATCCCGCGCGTGCTGGTGCTGAACTACACGGCGAGTGACACGCGGCTTAATGACCCCACGCCGCCCGGCTGCTCCCTCGTCGACGACGGAGACTTCATCACCTTCGACATCGGCATCACCGACTGCGGCGCTGTCTGCCAGGTGATGGGGATGGCTCTATCAGCATGTCCATCGATCGATCTGTTGACTGGACAAGTGACAAATAGATCGCCCGACCGATAAACGGATTCACGAATGGACCGACAATTAGACTGACTGACAATTGAAATAGATTAACCGACCGTTAAATTGGCTGACCGGCGAGCAGATCGACCAATGGCAACGTTGACCAACTAACTAATTTATGAAATGATCGGTGAATGGATAGACCAACGAACGAATAGATTGACGGGCCAATCACATAGAGTGACTGATAAACGAATAGATCGACTAATGAAATAGATACATTTTTATTTAAAGCTTTCGTGACTGCAGTAATTCATAATCTTAACGTGACTTTACCGAAAGAGCTAAGAATATGAAATAGATACATTTGAGCGATAATATCAGCTTCTGCATGGGTCCTAGGTGGATTGTTCGGAGAACTGTGAGAGATTGTCGACAACCATGATGATGTGTTTCTATCTCTCTCTGGCTCCGTCGCCCTTTTTTCCTCCCCTTTGCCCCACGATCGTGCAGGAAACGAACTCGTCAATTATCTTCTCCCAGTCGGTGACGCTGAAGGAAGACGAGAGGGGCCAAGTGATCACACGCAACTTCAATGATATTGTGGTTCTCATCACGTAAGTGTGTCTATGCACTTGCCCCATCAGGCTGTGTGGGCGACATGGATGATCTACGTCTTGTGTGGTGCTGCAGTGTAGTGGTTATCGCACTCCGCTACGAACCCGGCAAAACCTCGTTCGATTCCCGCTCACGGTCGACACCGGTGACAATTATCTGAACCGGTCCTCGGCCTGGCCTAGCTCGACTCGGCCTAAAATGAGTACCTGGTGCGTTGTGTGAATATCAACACTGGGGAGACAAAGGCGGTCGGGGTAGGTGGTGCTGGCAAACTACACCCCTCGTGTCGTGGCGGCCCTCAATGGTGCTGCTCGTGAACAACACTTGCCCGAACAGTCTGTTAAGGCTACACTGGGGATCTTTGTCCTTGCGTGGCTGTGGGTGTGAACAAAATATTAAAGGGAGCTTAGGGGTGAGGTGTGGGGAGCCGAGTCCAAGGCTATTGTGAGCTTGCCTACCCATCAACACGAGGTGAGGAATGTTCGCCGTGGTGGCTTAGGCCCCCGTTGAAGATGAACATCCATGGAGGGATGCAGGCGAGACTGATTAATCAGATGGGTTCTATGACCTCCTGTCCCAGATGTTGGCCAAAGTGGCCCTTTAAAGGTAGCGTGTCATGTGCAGCAGTGGCATGATCTGGTGAAAGGTACAAAACATTGTCGAGGTGTGGTGGCATCAATGGCTTTGGCCATTATGAAGACCTTGATTTTGATTGTAATAGTGATCATTGAACTCATACTCGGTTAACAGTGACATCGGTTATCGTTTTTTCAGGTCAATGTTTTCACCTACCATAGGACCCCATGGTTTCGACTTACGTTACAAATTGTGATTAACGGTATATTTACGTGATGCACGCGGACGCCAATTTCGTCCAATCTGAGCGCTCGGAATTGAGACTGAGCCATGCCGTCAGCCAATCAACGGCGCCCATTTGTGAGCGCTTAGAACTCGACTAGCTTTGTTAACATGACGTTATCTGTTTTGGCAGATTAAACAGCTCTCTTTGCAGACTCAGTGATTTTTTTTTAAATATAATTTTTCAACTTACAAGTGAATTAGACAAACAGTTATTTCAGTTAACAGTCGTTTCCGTGGAACGGATTGGAGACGTTAGCCGAGGGAATACTGTAGATGAAAAAAAAAATTACAATGTGTAAACCCAATCCCCCGTTCAATGCCTCCCTCTATCTCCCTGTACCCCCGGACTCACAGCTGTGTGTACGACAAGCGGAAGAGTCTGGCCGTCAGCTTCACTCCGGACACGAGCAGCATCTTCATCACAGAGAAGGGGCTCGGGGACTTCGTCTTCACCATCGACCTCTTCACCACGGACGCCTTCGCGCTCGCCTACAGGCAGGGATCTTCACCGCAATCGGGGGGGTGGGGGGGGTGGTGGGGGGTGCCACGGTGGCTAGGAGATGTTGACTACCTCGCCTGGTGCACAGGCGGTCGTGGGTTTGAGCCCGATCCTGACGATGCATGCTGCTGTTGTATATTTGGAGTCTGAGTCTCTCTCTATCTCTCTCTCATCATCATCACGGTGGCTAGGAGATGTTAACTACCTCGCCTGATATGGAGGAGGTCGTGGGTTCGAGCCCGACCCTGACGATGCCTGCTGCTGCTGCTGTATATTCGGAGTATGCGTCTCTCTCTCTCTCATAATCATCACGGTGGCTAGGAGATGTTAACTATCGCGCCCCGTACACAGGAGGTCGTGGGTTCGATCTCGACCCTGACAATGCCTGCTGCTGCTGCTTTATATTTGGAGCCTGTGTCTCTCTCTCCCCGTGGTCGTGTGGATTTTATCTCCGGGTCCTCTTGTTTTTCCCTCTATATTTAGAATCAACATGTGTTTAAAGTATTTTACTGCTGCTATGAATGTCCATGTAATGATAAGCAACGTGGTTGAGCTACCAGCCTTACCTGGTAAAATAAAATAAAAAAAATAGTCTAGAATGCCTACCCGCTGATTGACCCGAGGAGAGGTGACACTTGACTAGTAGTAGCCACAGCCATAACGAGAGAGGTGGTCTGGATGTGGGTCACCAATCCAGATGGGTTGAGCGAAGCTGCCCTATTTCTTACTCACGCTGCTACTACTAGGGGGAGCCCTTCTGCAGGGTATTTTTGCCTGCTCTTGCACGCTGGCCAGACACCTTAAATAGAGGTGGGAGTACCCACACTTTACCCTACAAAACGCGACTACCGATCGACGAACTGTGGTGTACACGATATTACTGCTGTGTGGACAGAGATTGCGGGGGGTGGGGGTGGGGGGAGTGGAAGGTTGGCAACCTTCGCGCGGACCCACTCTGTTGTCAAGCGAGGAATCATGGCGAATGCCGTCGGTGCGGCGACCGAACTCCGACCATCGATCCCCCTCTCGGGTCTCCAGAGCAGCAACAACACGATGCCATGCCAATTGCCCCTCTTCAAGGCCACACAATGACAGCGTGGCCCGATAGGTCCTGGCTGGGGCCGAGGATCCTCCAACTGAACGTCAAGCGATTCCTCCCGGGCGAAGTTGCGAGTACTTCGCCATCATAATGATGATCCGTAATATTGATGTCCTGACGCACGAGGGAGACATCACAGTGACGACAAACTACTCGGCTGCTCCTGACGCAGTTATCTGGCTTGACCACCTGAATGTGAAATTGAAGTCGTTGTCTCTGCATCTACATCAGCAACCGTGTGAAAGACAGAAAGAGGTCGAACCAGGCCAGCAATCTCTGGACTGCCAGTCCAGCGCGCTTAACCATGACACCACGAACAAACCCAGTCTGAAGTGAGTCCCCCCACCACCGCCTTCCCCCCCCCCCCCCCCCCCACCGTGCGTACAGGAGGAACGACTTCCCGGTGCACTACAAGAAGAGCCAGGAGGTTTACCTGCAGCTCGCCGTCAAGTCCACCGTGAGCATCGCCCTCTTCACCGAGAACTGCTACGCGACGCCCAGTGGCGACCCCCACGACTCCATCCGATACGACCTCCTCAAGGACGGGTGAGTGGAAGATCAGCGTTGAGGTAGCGGGAGAGTCCGCGAGGTTCATACAAACATTAACCCCATCCCTTCGCCATTAACATTAACCCCCCCCCACTCTGGTCTTCGTACCTGATTGGGTCACAAGTGAAGACGTCACATTTGTCCCCTCTATTTAAGACTGGATCAGAAGGAGGCTTTCTCCACAACTCTGGCTGTCCGCCTGATGATGCTCGTTATCATTGCTGGCGAAAAGTCGTGGTAATCGAATTGTAAATGTTGTGGATTTGCTCTCCAACACACTGGTGTGCTGTACTAGTAACGAATTGGCATGTTTTGTTTACATGACAAACCTTACTAATTGGCTGTCGGGTGCTGGCGGGTTTAACGACACATTTATATTTACGCGACCTAACTCAAAAACCTCTATCATGAGTGATACTGATGGTGATGCTGAAGCTGCTAATGATATTGATGATGGCGATACTGATGGTGATGCTGCTGATGATGATGCTGATTATGGTGAAGATGGTCATGGTGATACTGATGGTCATGATACTGACGGTGATGCTGCTGATGATACCGATGCTGTTGCTGCTGCTGATGATGATGGTGACGATACTGATGATGGTGACGATGCTGACACTGCTGATTTCTGTCCCCCCGGGCAGCTGCCCGACCGACCCCACGTGGAGGAGCTACAGCAGCTTCCTCAAGAAGAATCAGTTCAGCTTCACGGCGTTCAACTTCATCGGCAACTTCCACCAGGTCCGCCCGCCCAGACACGGCCATTACGATCCACCTGAGACAGGAGGTCGGACGCACAGACCCATGGCTCGAACTTAGTCACTCAGAGGTTGCTGGCTCAGCGCTCCAGACATGGCCATTATGTTCCACCTTAGAGAGAAAAGAGAGACGATGCACCACTGGAAAAATAACAGGGAAGAAAGTTGTTCAATCAGTTACGTACACAATTTAAAAGTGCACAGAGAAGCACGTTGAGGTCCTGGCCGGGGATTCATACAGAGAGGTAGGAAGAGGAACAACGTGGATTCGACAACAAAGCACAAGTTACAGAAACATCACCCAAACAGCCAAGACAAGTTTTAGTTTAGTTTGTTTAGTTTATTTATTTTGGTATAGCCCTGTGAGCCATTCGGCTCTTGAATCGGGTGCAACCGCAACAAACAAAAAAAGGAACAAGAAAAACATCTTAAAGTGACTATGTGTGACTGTGCAAACAGAAAATCCAAGAAAAAAAACTGCAAAATATTCCTGAAAAAAGCACCGTACACCAACGCTGTGTGCAAAAATCCCAGTGGGATGCAAGTCAAAGAACAACAACCACAAGAAAACTTAGATTAAGGCCATCAGTCTAACTCCGTACTACAACAAAACAAACATGTCCAAACCAAAAAAAACTCTTCCAAATCACCAAAAAATAAAGCCACAATTGCAACGTAACAGTGATCACAGGGGTCTGTGGCCGAATTTTTACAATAAACTACATAAATAACATGTAACACCAAATCCTAGAGTGGGTGTGGGCAGGACACGTAGCTTTGGGTGAACAACGGCTGGCAATCCGAGACCAACAACAGAAGCGCATCCAGGGGAGAGAAAGCACCTCATATTTGCCAACGCGGACTGACCAGGGGAACAGAGTAAGATGGCAGTACAAATAACTTATACGTGGATGCACTGCGTTACCGTATCATTCCGTGGGCAGACCCAGAATTTTCACACCGCTCTGCCGCATAAGCTTAAGAAAAGTAGTTCGCCGTTGACCGCTCAGCAACCGCGTTATAACGGGTGCGCGTTCTGCATTGTACTAACATTGAGCATTCCTCGGTGTAACAGTGGTGCGCCACTCCACGTTGCGATGACGGTGCGCACCCTGTGTTGTGCAAAAAGAGTGTCCCCCCCCCCACCCCCAAATAGAAGAGTGGTGAGAACGTGCGTCGCGTGAACACCGCGCGTGTCGAGCGGAGGGCTTGCCCTTACTGGGTCGCGGCCTCACGCAGGCTTTGTCCGTTTGTCTCGTGTTTCCCCATCCCTGGCCGGCAGGTGTTTGTCCACTGCGACGTGATCGTGTGCAAGGTGGGAGAGCCCAACACGCGGTGCCAGCAGGGCTGCCTGCCCGCCGGGGGGGGCTCGGCGAGGCGCAGGAGGAGCGCGGAGGAGGGCGTGGTGCAGTCGGAGGTTCACACCATCTCACGGGGGCCGCTGGTCTATGGGGAATCGGCGGAGCGATCGACCGGAGGTACCCTTCACCCCAAGACAAAGATCCCCCCCCACCCATATAGTTTCCCGTTCTGATGGCATAATGTCATCAAAACGAAACCACAAGAAAAACTTAAGTAAATTTACTTTTTTTTGTTCTTCTTGGTTCTTTCGGTAAAGTCACGTAGAATGGAAATACAATAATAAAAATAAAACGTAATAATATAAGATTCTCACATTTCGGCCACGAAACAAGTAGCCTTCTTCAGGTGAATAAACAGGACTGTCCAGAAGACAGCGCTCGGTTCGCTAGGTTCACTCGAGCGCTGTCTTCTGGACAGTCCTGTTTATTCACCTGAAGAAGGCTACTTGTTTTGTGGCCGAAACATCGTGAGAATCTTATTCTATTACGTTTTATTTTTATTATTTTATTTCCCGTCTACGTGACTTTACCGAAAGAACCAAGAAGATGAATCAGTGCAGTCACGAAAGCTTTAAATCGAAATAAAATTACTTTATCGGTACCGAGGCTCCCACAAGGCCGTATTGGGGAGGGGCGTGTGGCACAGTATTGGTGCTGGCTATTGTAGAGTGTGGTGATTGTGTCGCTATGGTTTTCTGCGGTGAGTACAGTACAACGTGTTTAAAAACAATGGAGCTGCTGCGACTACGCCTCTCTCTAAATAAAATTAACCCTGAGCTGCTCGCACTTTCCAAGATTCAACGGTAAACAGGACCCACCCTTTTGATTTAAATCTTTCGTGACTGCTTTCAACGTGACTCTACCGAAAGAGCTAAGAATAGGACCCACCCTGCAGCTTGCAGACGTCCTGGAACGGGATAGGGTTAACAGACTGTTGGGGCAAGTGCTGTTAGCGAACACCTATGAAGGCCGGCACGGTGGCACACGAGGGGGTCGGTGGCCAACGCCACGCCCGGTCGTCTTTGTCTCCCCCATTGTCGACCTCGGGAAGGCCCATGACCGGTTTAGATAATCGTCAGTGACGCTGGTGGCCGTGAGCGGAACTCGAACTCGGGTCGCTGGGTTCGTAGCGCCAGCACACTAACCGCCATACAACCACCCCCCCTCCCAACAGATACGCAACAACATATGTCTTTATTATAGACTTATTTCACACCGTACGTAGACAACCGTGCTAATTGTAGGTGCGGGGGAAGGACAACAAACTAAATACAGCAACACGCAGTTAGAAATACAGTAAAACTTTGGATTGCGAGCATAATTCGTTCCGGAAACGTATTTGTCATCCAAAGCACTCGTATATCAAAGCACTCGTATATCAGTTGTGATCACGTGACGCTCGGCAGACAAAGCGTCTATACGTACACTACTTATATTGCAAGACCCTCGCTCGTTTATCAAATTCATATTTATTTAAAATTTTTGCTCGTCTTGCAAAACACTCGCAGACCAAGTTACTCGCAATCCAAGGTTTTACTGTATACGAGTTTTCAATCTAGACTTAAAACTGCATAGCTCCAGTGGCTTGATGATGAGGTTGCGATGGTGATGATGAGGTGGTAACGGTATGTAATATGTTGAACTTATTTCGCACCACACATCGCCAAGCGTGATTATCGGAGGTGCGGGGGAAAGGGCAACAAACTAATCACAACCAACAACAAGCAGTTCTGACAGAAATTCGTTTTCAACGCAGATTTATAACGCGAGTTAGAAGGCATCACAATTGGCATCTGTCATGAGGTGGCGTTCATATCGGCCGAAGATTCGCGCGGTCAAATCACAAAGAGACGACGTCGTGATGCCGTGCTTCCTTATTTTCTCCACCTCTGCCCCCCTCCTCCGGTCTCTCGCCCCCCCCAAACCCCACAGTGAACCTGAGCCAGCTGCTCACCCCACTGGCCGTGGTGTTTGCGGCTCTCTTCGTGGGCGGCTCCCTGATCCACCACCGCAGGCGGCGAGGGCACGGCGGCGGGTACAGCCGCGTGCCGCCCGAAGTCTCCGAGTGACCCGGCGGAAGCGAGCGGCGGTGCCAGTAGCTGCGTAACGAGCAGCGTGGGGGGGTGCCTTGGCCGCCGCATTGGTGGCCAAAGCCACCGTGATGAGTGTCAAAGACAGGGGCGGAGCGAGCCAGGGGGGGGGGGGGGTGACAGGGGTGACATTCTGCGTGTAAGTGTACGACACTCGGTCTGGCGGACTCCGTGCAACTGCATTGTCAGAGTGTGTGTCGCCAACCGATGGCGTCTAGTTCAACAGCCTGACTCTCTCTAAATCATTCTTGAAATTAACATTTGTTGAATGTCACCCCGACCTGAAATCCTGGCTCCGCCCCTGGTCAAAGATTTCGTTTTAAAGCTTTCGTGACTGCAGGGATCCATATTATTTGGTTCTTTCGGTAAAGTCACGTAGGAGGGAAATAATAAAATAATACAATAAAACTATTTAATTCTCACGACGTTTCGACTGCAACACAAGCAATTTACGTGACTTTACCGAAAGAACCAAGAATATGAGTGTCAAAGAACAAACCGCATGTAATGATGGCAAGAGGAGCCACGATGTACAATAGCCTAGGTGCCACCGTCACCTGAGACAAGTCAAATTAACGTTGTTGGCGGAACACCGATTGGTGCGTGGCATATTTTAACAAAAATGCACGTCGCATTTTTCGCAAAAATTATTTATTTTCAGCAGGATACGCAACCGCCGGTCAGAACATCTCGTGGGGTGATTGTGCATCAAATCACTTCTCGCGATTGCGAAGGGTGCGGAAGACGAACGTCGGTTTAAACTTAGATTTCAGACTGCTTTATGAGGACCGGTGTGGTGTTATGCCGCAGCGGTGTGTACCGCCAATACGTCCGAATATTGGGTGTCCCCCACCCTGACCGATTGCCGCACTACCCCCCCCCGAGCTGATGATGTCGTTACTATGCCACCTGAACAAAGGAAACGTGGGGAGAGAGGAAAGAAGGGATGGATGGATGGATGGGTAGGTAGGACGCTGGAGACACGTGGTGCATGCACACCGGGGTCAAGTTATAAGGTTCTGCTGCATCCTACTGCGCATAACCCACGGTTGTCCGTGTCGTCGATTGTGCTGAATAGCATTACGTTGTGGTTATTGTGGCCGCATATGGGATTTGGTCCTCATGTATAATTATCGTACAGCGTTATGGGCTGCCATTAGCATGAATGACGCTACGTAAAATAATTACCGTGAGAATTGTATTGTCTTATGAAGAGGAAAATAATTATCATTAGGTTACAACTTTTTTTTTATTTGCTGACGAAATAAAATGTAATGTTTGAATGATCATGAACGCAGGAAATTCGTTTTTTGCTAAATGCCTTACATCTATCATCGTTCGAAGTTTTATTTGATTCACAGTACGGTTTATTTTGCTCTTATGTGACTGATAGTGCAATGCACGTTGCAAGCTTTTGGGGTTGAAAATTTGCATCGAATATACAACCGGTGGTAGGCGTCTGTTGAGTGAACTTCTGCGCTTGAAGACATTTGATGAGTAATGCCTATTATGACTGGAAGTTGCAGCGAAGCTCAATCAAAACGATAAAATGTAAAAATATTGAAAGCTATTCTAAAAAGGTCAAGTTAACCGATATCACGGTAATTATAACCTGACAATCGCTAAAGCATATATCGTTTTTATGACTCATGTAACTGGCGGGCATGCGCATTGTAAGCGTTACAGGTCGTAAACCATTGCATTCCATAGAAGACTTAATGGCAAAAGGCTAACGTTGGTTGAGCGAACTGCAGTTATGGCAGGGCACAAAGACAAAGCTCCTCCCTAAAGCCTGAACAGACTGTTGGGGCAAGTGCTGTTAGCAAGAAGCACCTATGAAGGCCGGCACGGCACACGAGGGGGTGGGTGGCCAGCACCACGCCCGGCCGCCTTCGTCTCCCCATTGGCGATGTTTACTTACACACCGCTACACCAGGTACTCATTTGAGGCCGAGTCGACCTAGGGGAGGCCCAGGACCGGTTCAGATAATCGTCACCGGTGTTTGCCATGAGTGGGAATCGAACTTGGGTGGCCGGGTTCGTAGCGCAGCACGCTCACCGCTACACTGTCACTCCCCAATACAACCATCACGCATCGTCAGTGAATGGACAAATTTAATGTTTATTGGAATATAATAGCGACATTCGTTATACCTTGAGCAATCCAATTTTCGATGCTGTCGCTGCTTTAGTGGTAATGAACAAGCACATATAACATAAACAAAAAAAGCACACCTCAACACAGTGGTATATTGTAGATGTCATCAGAGCCACAGAATCGTTCACAGCCCCCCCCTCCCCCATCACCAATACTACTGCCCTAAAGAGCAACAAGTTACGTAATAGGTGACGTTTCGGGCAATTACCCTGCACCGTATACAAAGTGATGAAGAATACTGAAGTGCCCGGAACGTCGCCTGCCATACAGCCTGGCAGTGCGAGTGACCGATGTTGTTGAGTGCGTTTGTTAATTGTCTCACATCGTGAACGTATCCACCATCATCACATTGTTTCGTGAACAATTACATTGCAGCAAATAACCACGAACTCCCCCCCCCCCCAAACCCCCAAACCCCACCCCCAAGGGCAGATTTAGGACTGAGGTTTTTTTTTGTTTAGCAAAACGTAAAACATTTTGCCCGCTATTTTCCGTTTAATGCTTTTTTTTTGTAAGCGATTTTTTTTTTCTTTAAAACTTAGACGCAGCGATTGCATTCTCGGAAATGTTCAGAAGTGAATAAAAATTCACATTTCCCTCTTCGTTTTTTAAAAAAAAATGTTTTTTCTTTCATTTCCCCGCTCCCCCCCCCCGCCCCCTCGAATTTTGCACGACCCACTTCACTTGGGGCACCCGAGGCGACCGCCCTAGTTCGCCCATATGGACAGGCTACCCCCTCCGGGAGGACAAGGTGAATGAACAAACCTGCCAACCCCTTATGAGTGCCTACCTTCTACCTTATTACAGATCAATTCAGACCTTATTGGACACCCCGTGCCCTTATAAATACCCTACAAAGTCCCATCACAAGGTACAAACACAAACAAACGGACAAAACATTTCCCCCCCCCCTATTGAAACGGCTGCACGCCGTATGAACCTGAAAACTCAATTTCCCTGAACAAAGAATATTGGGTAAACCGTATGGATTGACACGGTATGAATGAATAGGAGTTTTACAAATGGCGAGCGCGTGGCTGTGATCGTGACGATCACCACTTGTCTGCGCGTGTTGTCGGGGGCCGCGCGCCGGTGCCGAGTGCTGTCCGAATGTACGGTGCGAAAGAAGTTCAACGCGCGGCCGCATACATTTGCTTCAAGGCGAAACGTCGGGGACGGGGTTCCAGGCACAGAGGTCCTTGCCCAGGCAGGGGCTTGCCAAAGCGCTCACACTCTGCCGAGGGAAGGCAAGGGCGCACGTGGGCTTGACGGTGTGGCCAAGGAATGCCTGCAAATCGCCTCCGAAGGGAAGCTTGCCTACGGTGTTACGTGTGCGTATGTTGAACTTATTTCGCAGCCGTTAGTGTAAGCCTTACGCTAACTGCGCCTGGCAAGCCATGCAGTCCAGCGCAGAGTGGAAGGCAGCGGGCGGGCGGATTGGCGGATCACACCGCAAAGATTTGCTGCGAAACTCCCTTCCCGTGGGAGTTGAGGAGAGAGGCGCTGCCGTACCCCGATTTGGAAGGTACATAGCAACACCAAGCAGAGAAACTCGATAAACACAACGGCAGTGTCCGATAGTACTGTAGTGAACCATCTTGCTTGTTGTGAGTATGGGTTTATTCCAGTAGAGTCTCCCAGATACAGCTGACGACGCCCGTGTCTCTAGTCTCCACCGGGTCTGGGTATTGGCACGGGGCTACCGCACCCTCGTCACCAGCGGTCACCAGCGTCACCAGCGGTCACTAGCGTCACCAGCGTCATCAACGTCACCAACGTCACCAGCGTCACCAACGTAGCCAGCGTCACCAGCGGTCACAAGCGTCACCAGCGTCATCAGCGTCACCAACGGTCACCAGCGGTCACCAGCGGTCACTAGCGTCACCAGCGGTCACCAGTGGTCACCAACGGTCACCAGCGTCACTAGCGGTCATCAGCGTCACCAACGTCACCAGCGGTCACCAGCGTCACCAGCGTCACAAGCGGTCACTAGCGTCACTAGCGGTCACCAGCGTCACCAGCGTCAACAACGGTCATCAGCGTCTCCAGCGGTCACTAGCGTCACCAGTGGTCACCAGCGGTCACCAGTGGTCACCAGCGTCACCAGCGTCACCAGCGGTCACCAACGTCACCTGCGGTCACCAGCGTCACCAACGGTCATCAGCATCATCAGCGTCACCAGCGTCACCAACGTTCACCAGCGGTCACCAGCGTCACCAGCGTCACCAGCGGTCACCAGCGTCACCAACGTCACCAGCGGTCACCAGCGTCACCAGTGGTCACCAGCGGTCACCAGCGGTCACCAGGGTCACCAGCGTCTCCAGCACCACCAGCGTCACCAGCGTGCAGACGACGAGGTGGAGGAGGACGAGATGTGGAGTCGCCCATCGCCTCAGATGCGGTAGCCGTGACACACAGAGACGTCTCTGAACCCGGCTCTCATATAGGAGTTGAAGGGCCTACGGCTAGCTCCGCACCTGGAACTAGATGCCCCCCCCCCCCCCATAGTAATAATGATGGGCATCTGAACATCCCGAACGAGATTATCCTCACTCCCCCCTCCCCTCGTATCTTTCCCTGCTCTCTCAATTCTCGGTCATTACAGTACTGAACAGTGGCGTCTCGTGACATGACAACTTGGTGGGGCTGTTGTGAGCGACCTCTGAGAAGACGGTGTTCTAGTTAAGAAAAACCTCGTCACGTTATCGGCCCTCCCGTGAAAGCGATATAACTGTCTCATCTACCAAACGGTAGGCGTTTATAAACAATATCTAAAATGCATTTTTTTGTCTGTCTGTCTGTCTGTGTGTGGACGCGCGCT